TTGCAGTTTCAATAGCTAATAACCTAATAAAAAAAGGTACGGAATCACATAAAAGCGAAAGTTACATAATTAAAACTGTAACGTGAGCCAATATTCAAATGTACTTAAGAAGCACCCACAATTTTTTAAAGTGACTTACATTGTGCACAACCTAACTTACCACATTCTATCCTAGTAAAATATTTTGAGAAGCTTGACTTAACCCTACGCTCTTTTTTTGTTTTTTTTTTTTTTATATATTTTTCCTAAATAAACAACGCTAACTAACACTACGGATTATAAAGGTACATAATATCAGACATTGACATAAAATGTTGTTGAACTAGTTCAAATTTAAAATTCCCTAGCAGTTTGCAAGGCAATTCTAAATAAATTTAAAGCAGATTGACGACAATATTAATATACGCCATAGTATTAAATCACATGTCAATCCCAGTGGTTATCTCTCATTCCTAAGCCCACCCATTCTACATAACTGTAAGTTGTTAAACGTTCCCGTTCTGTATTATATAACTGACGGATGTTCATTAGAATGTAACAACTAAACAACACAACAACACGCCCCATAACCGACCACAGAACAACCACTGCACACTCAATTTTTTTTGTTTTTATCCTTTTTTTCTTAGTACCTAAATTTCTGAAGATTATATGTACACTAAAATAGCCTTTAAACAGGTTTAAAAATAAAAAATAAAACGAATCTGTATATGTTTTGGTACACTACATTAACTCATTTGTAAACAGTTTAGAAAATAAGTCGCGCATCATTAGTTTATGTAACAATTTTAATCTACCGGCCAAACAACTTTAGCTCTCTTTTATTTCAAATAAAACGAAGAAAAAAAAAACTAAGAATTTATCCATGTGCAAAATTGGACCATCAAACGCTGACAGGATAAACGTCCCTTTTCTTCAACGTTAAAATGATTGTTTTCAGGCCCCTCCCTTATACATCGACCAAACAGCTAACTAAACACTAATTACGATGATAGACAATATCATCACTAATACCTAAAAACGAATACAATTAAGCTACAAATTGGCAAAAACGATACTTGATTACAATTTCTAATATGGAACTTCTTTTACTGTAGGCTTAAGGTAAAGCGTTTTGAATTTAAAGCAGTGGATTATTTTTAATCTCTTGTTCACATCATATTGTCGCGCAACCTTACAAAAATTGGAAACGGGAACACACGCAACACGCTTGATTTAAAATCTCACTTAAGTCCATAATCCGACAGAATAGATAATGCGTACGTACGTATGTACAGCCCCCTAAGTCTGCTCACTGTCAAATCGAATCTTTTTAATTTTTCTTATTGGAATGTTACTCTCTCTCCCAGCCCGAGTGTGCTTTCTACATCTTATGTACATACACAAAACATATTACTGAATCCAATCAATAGCGAAACTTAACATGTTTTTCCTGTTTTTATTACCAAAAACTTTAAAAATGAAAAAGCCACTTTGATTTCACAGCACAGTTTGTGTTAACGTCAAATATATATGTATATTATATACGTTGTGTCAAAAATCCAATCCTGAAAGACATGTATGCACGTAAATTGTTATACAATGTTTTACTCTACTTGTAAGAACAGGATTTTAGTACTATTCTTTTTTTTTCTGTTTTGTTTTTGTCAATAAGGAAATTTATTTATTTGGCCAGTTTGCCCGAAACAGAAATCTCATTACATGTTCCTATTTTCGCAAAAATTTGTTTAACCGGTAGAGTGCCAATTTAAATTAATTCACTCGTCGATTTAAAATGAGTTCAGGAAAAATGTTGACATTTATTTCTTATTTTTGTTCGATACATTTCATACGAACGTGCAGATCAATTTGCCGTTTTAATAACAACCGCTAAAACACTGCAAAAAAAAAATAGGAACCTACATTTTTGGTCTTTGCTTCTTCATTTATTTTTTAATTATTAATTAACAGTAAAGAGAGCCACATATCGCATAGAATAAACAGATTATTGCAGCCGTAAACTATAGGTATTAGTTAGTAACTGCTAACATTGCAAACAACGTTCGAATAGTGAATAATATTGAGTCTTTGCAAAACGGGCGATGAAACCTTTCTTTCAAAGCGTAAAACTGTCATATTTTTAGATGTATCAAAACATTAACTTCGTTTCTCAATTAATGGGTAACACACTGCCACATCATATTCAATATTTCAGCCACGAAAGAGTAATATGTATGTATTGATATTCCATGAACGCGATTGTAACGGGTGATTTTTCGAAGTTTGTGATGAAAAATTTTACAGTTTTACTATCGAGCGCAGAAAACTAAAATGTGTGTGTGTGGTAACTTGTTGTTTGAATTTATAAATGCACTTTAACTTTTAACATGGCCAATGGAAAATGATATACATATGTATTTCGTACTATTATTAAAAGAGAAAATACAAATAGAAAAGCATGGAAATGTCTCAGTCCAGCAAAATTTCCGTCACAAACAAATCACAGCAAAAAATGGACTAATATGTACGAACGAATATGTATATCCAGAGATACATTTACATAAAAATACGGCTAGCTATCATAAATATCGTAGTAATAATAAAATTTATATATTATATACTTTGCTTAAAATTAGAACGATATATATGTATTTATAATATTACCGGCGATTATTTTATAATTGTGTTTATTATTATTAAATTTTAAGAATACTTAATGTGCAGTCTAAATTGATTGTGTGGTGTTATGCAGCTGAACACCAATTTCGGATCAGCCGATTCGTGTATGTATTAACAAAATATGATTTTGTGTGTAGTATGTGTAGTACTTTTTCATTTCTTCTTCTAATTTTTATTTTTTGATATAAGGAAGTGGAAAGATCACAGGTTTTCGGGGTCAAGAAAGGCATCCGTACACTAAAAATTTGTTCGCATCCTTCCTGAAGAAAACGCCTAATGTTTACCTGAAAACCACCTTTAAAACAAAAGCAACAAAAATTGCTCGTGCATCAATGGCGTGGATGAAATCGGGGTTGGTTTCCAGGTTAACACACATCATTCGTTTAGATAGCGCGTACAAATTAAATTTTCTTCTCGTAATACAATCGGACGCGATACAAGCGTGTGTACTATTTTACACTGGGAACAAACACAACGGCACGAGCATGCCTAACGAGCAATTCGTTTAAGCGAAAAAACTTCGGGAAAATAGTCGGCGGGAAAAAAACGTCACAAAGGGGTGCGTGCTGTCATATAGTTTTTTTTGTTTTCATCCAAATTTTCTGCGGGACTAGTTCGGTACACGTCACAGATCGCGCGCATTCAACTTGAGCGTTTTAATATTGATAATTATGCAGCAATTACAGACTTGAAAATCTTATCAATTTTACCAACCGAGGCGACACGACGTCATTACGTTAACCCATCCACATTAATAACCGTTTTCTTTCATTCTTCTTTTTAAGTCACATCGAAATCCCTACGTTTAAATCTATCTATGAATATTGTATATAATATATGTATATATATATAGGGAGAGAATTGTTAGGCAAAATTAACATTTTGGAAAAAGGTAAAAGAACTTAAAAACTGAACACACTTACGTTAACTTATAATCTTAAAACCCAAAACCACCCTACAACTAACTAGAAAAGCAAGTGTATTAATCGAATCTAAGCTTTTAAATAATGACTATATATTTCGTTTATACTCAGTATTCTTTTTTACCATGTTCGTCATTTTTTCCGTCGTCATGCAGGACAAGTGAATCTTGTTGGTACGATTTATTTTTTTTGTTTTTATAATAATTTTACTAATATACAAACCTACTATTTACTTGCCGCTTAACCTACGTTTTTTTAAGTATGTTCAATATATTTATGAAATAATAACAATTGTACAGATTTTTTTGTATTTTGCCAATATACACATATATTGCATTAGTAGTAACATTAAAANTATACATATATTCATATATATTATTTCCATTAATAATAATTAAAAACCCTTACGAGCTATAAATTTAAAATTCGAATTATTACATCATCGATAATAAATGATTTTGATTTGTTGTTTTTGTTCTCTTTCATTTCTTGTTGACGCGTAAAAAAGTGAATTAAATTGACTCACCACTACCAAGAAGATCACCAGGCAGGAACGAATTTAAGTTGGATGGTGTGCCACGGGCCTGATGATCGCCGCTGTCCAGGGTTGAGGAGCCCCAAAGGCTGGTCGCAGTTGCGGCATTCGGCCAGCCACTGCTCCACGTATCTGAGGCCGGTTTTCCGGGGTTTCTCCAACCGCCCGAAGTGCCGCTTTGTTGGGGAGCTGCCTGTTGCAACAGAGTATTCGCTTCCCAATCGCTCGGATTCTCGGCTAAAATTGTCGTGTTGCCCAATACGCAGTTATTCAGTGCCGTTTGCGCCTGCAAAATTTCAACGTTAAAAACAATTACCACCTGGTATAAACGTTTCGTTAAATGTTTACCTTCGCAGCCTCTTCGCGTGACGAATATTTAGCAAGTGCATAACCTTGGTGCAAATACAACTGGAAGTTTTGTAGAGGACCGTGCTGCATACATAAGGTGCGTAAGGTGGATCCATCAATCTATATTAAAACAAAACAATGTTCACATTATATTTGCGCTATACATTAATACACCTTTTCAAAAAGTTCCTGCATTTTAGAGATACTTTACGCCGACAGTTTTCTAAGATATTTTCGAAAATACGAAGGGAAACTATAGAAACTTCATATGCAACTCTCAATTCAGAATTCAGTAAATATTAAAACATTTTACGTCTTCAATTTCAATTCTTTTCAAATTAGACAAATATTTCTTACTTGTGCTGTCAAGTTTCTTAAGAGTAACCACGGCGAAGTACATCCCCAACTTCCAGGGGCCCTTTCTAAACTCCAAGCATTGGACCTAAGATATGCCGTCCAACCATTAAGGGCCGAACCCTTAGGTACCACTAATCCCGGAGGTGGACCGCGTGATTTCGTTGCCCACAGTTCGGAAGTTACTGCTGTCGATGGGTTCAAATCACCAACAACTCCTTTTGAAGCTGGCAACTTATTCTGAGGACTACAAATATATATGTAAAGCTAACCATACAAATCGATAAAGAAATATTTCAAAAAAGTTAGTTTACCTAGTAAATGCACTCGGGGTCGAAGACGGCGGATTAAAGCTCCAAGTGGATGAACTCAGACCTACAGGTTGAATAGCATCTCCTCCTGGAGGCGAATTTTTGCTTGAATTCATAGAGAACAGTTCTGGATCCTTAATTGTTGGAATCGACAGAGGCGAACGCACCACCGATCCCGGAGTTATACTTGGATCATCTTCAATGGATTTCATTTGCGGACCCTTTAAAAAAATTAAACAGGTTATTCGAATTGACGACACGAGTTCAACTACCAGTAAGAACAAGAAACGTACGACAGAATTGAGAAAAAACAACTTCAATACCTTCCACGGTTTTCCGGGTTCAAATTCAGGTACTAAATCGGTGATAGAGGTTTGAGAGGGTGCAGGCCACTGACCATCCTTGTTATCAGCGGCCACGCTATCGTTTGTACTTGATTCGGGCCAGCCACCTCCGGTGTCACCCGTACGTCCATTCGACCACGGGCTGCAAAACCATATATGATTTCACAACATGTTTTGAATTTACGCTAAACACTACTCACCCATCAGGTTGAGTAAGACCCAGTGGCAATGGATTTAAATTGGGAGAGCTATGCGAGGCTGTCAAAGGTTTTGAAGAAGAACCAGGAGCCCTACTAAATTCTCCAGGGTCTTCTTTGTCCAAAACGGGCAGTTTCCACTGATTCAGTCTTGATTGTTGCTGACTCTAAATTATGATACATCTCTCTTAAACGCATTACAAAAATATACCTTTGGCAATTATACATTGCAACTACAACACTAAATTATAGATAAACAAAACAAAAAACTTACCACTTGAGGATCCTTAATACCGAGATCTGCAAAATTATTTTGTAAAGCGTTTATAGAGTCATGCATAGCGTTAGTCTTGTAGAGATCAGAAGGACCACCAGGTACTCCTCCTGTTAATTGTTGTTGCTGCTGTTTTACATAAATTGCCTGTTGAGCTGCGATTTGATTCTAAAACAGCAATTTATATATTTAATTTTATCATTAATGACGGTATCTATTTATTGACAAAATTTATAGAAATTTCGACTTAAAAATCAATAGTATAAGACTTTCTTAAACTATGTTTCATTAACATACCTGCAAATTAGCAATTTGTTGCTTAGTTTTAGTAATCAAAACGGAACATTGCAATAGCATATTGCTGGCTTTTCCGCCTCCCATTGAAGTTTGTTGTTGCGCCATAGACTGCTGATTAAGCAGCTGCTGAAGAGTCTTTATTTGTTGAAGTAACTGATTCAAAAATACCAGTGTCTGAGGTGCCAGCGGCTGATTTAAGATCTAGAATAATACGGATCGTACAGTTCGACCATAACAAACCCTGAAGAAAACGCCTAATGTTTACCTGAAAACCACCTTTAAAACAAAAGCAACAAAAATTGCTCGTGCATCAATGGCTTATATGGGAATACTCGACGAATACATGTGCTATTGGCTATTTGTCGCGATAAACAATAATACAAATACCTAAAAACATCGCCATTACCAACGAATGTGTATGTGTGTGTAGTATTTTTAAAGTGTATTGTTATTTGCACTCGTAATAACGGAAAAATGTTTCGACGCCGCATTAACGACAAAAAATTAATAACGTAACTATTTTTATTAATTAAAACTAAAATTAATAACCTAATANTGTGATTTCAAAGTATCGGTGAATGCTTGTTTTTTTTTTTAATATTTTAGAATGAAACATAGCAAATAAGTAAATTTCTCCATCTGAAAAAAAGAAAATGAATCATAAATTCTCTCATATATATATATATATATATATATAATTGTTTTATACATAAAAACGTTCTCATTTTGGTTTTCGGAAATCATCGACTTCTCATCAATTGGATCCAACTTTTAATCACCGATAAGACTGTTTTATTTTCAATTTTTTTATTCAATTTTATTCACCAACCTGATGATTTAAATAACCGGCCTGCACGGCCATTTGTATTTGTTGCACAAGCATCCTAAGTTGCTGTTGCGTAGGAGTCGATTGAGTCTGAAGAGTGCGAGGCGTAGCGCCGGTACCTGCAAAGCCTTGCGACCCGCCGCTTTGAGCCAACATCTTTTGCACGATCGCCGGAGACATATTATTTATTAACGAACTATTATTAGCACCACTCGGTGGATTGTTCATGTTGTTCAGTAGGTTTGGAGCATTACCGCCCTAAAACAAAAGACGGTGAGTGTTAAAAATAAAGAAAATTCTTATTAATATTTATTTACCGGTGGGAACGGCATCTGAGCGGTAGGTCCGGTAGGAAAACGTTGTCCGGGGAAGGGACCAGTTGCTTGGTGATCGTAATGGTCCTCGTGGCGGCCTCTCCAGCTTTCCATGCCGGCAGCACTACGAAGAGTACTTAACATATCGAGAGCATCGTCCATATTCATTTCACGTATTCGTAACGCGCTCTCAGCATCTTCTTTCTATTTGTCACGTAAAGTAGTTTAACAAATGAAATTGAATATGCTAACTATCTATGTACCTTATAGCCCATGTCGACCAGTGTTCGAAACTGTTTCGAATTCCAGATCATTTCCTTCGTAAGTGACTGCTTGTTAGCTTGTTTGTGACCCCAATCGATGTCATTGTCCCACAATGGTCCCGTGATGGGCTTCTGTTTAGCGCTCCACGGTCCAGAACCGTCGTCTCCCCATCCTGGACCGGTCTCATCCCACGAGCCATTTCTGCCATGTACCCCCCAAGACCCTTCTGGTTTTACACGCGACTGTGCTGCCATACCCGGCGGTCCAGCAACACCACTACCGCGACTCATATTAGCCCCTGTTCGTAAAGAAAAATCACTCCATTAAAATAATAAATAAAATTATTCAAGCATCGGCAAAATGTTACACCACAACAAAAAAAAAATAATCTTCACTAAATACCTTGTTGCGGATTACCCCACAATGACGTCCCGTCATCGTAATTAGGCACAGTACGTCTTTGAGTAGGTGGGGATGGTTCCTCCCAACCCGAAGTAGCTTGGGGACCCATCGGTATTTTTGCTTGATGGTGCATATGATGAGCATTTGTTTGTGGCCCTGTTTGTCCCCAAAATGCTTCTGCTCCTGCCCCATTTAAACGACCGGTAATACCTGTTATAATATTAATGTGAGTCACAGCGAATAACGAGTTGTCGATTTATAACCGCTGGAGCACAGAAGCATCGGTGAATAAAAAAAAAAGAAAAGAAAAACCAGGAATTACCTCTAGGATCTCCGCGCATATCGCGTATCTGTTCACGAGGATCCAACATACGCATTGGGTCTGAGCTTCCGCTACGCATGTCACGCAAGTCAGGTCGCATGTCACGCGGATCCATACCCGTAGGACCGGGATTGGCGGAACGCGGATCTCCCCAGCCGGCTCCACCTGCAGTACCCCAATCATTCTCTTTCTTGGGGGCTATAAATATTTGTTAGTAGCAAAAAAAAAAACGGGAATAATTCAGAATCAGGTTAAACAACGAGGAGCGGAATTATGCAATGTACTATCTGTAATGTGTTCATTATATCAAAAACGATACAACTGAATAGTAAAAGATCTACTTCACACCTATTTTAAAATTATTAATGTTCCTGAATAAACGAACTATAACGAAATAACGCCAACACTACTAATGTTCTTCCTATTATTTACTCGTGCAAAAAATTAACATAGTGCAGAATAATGGGTTAGGAAATACTTTTTATATTTAGTTTCCATTTACAAAGTAGAAGACATTTACAATTTCAAGAGAGAGTTTTCTTTCACAAACCAGTTGTATCTGTTTTAACAATATAAATAACGACACCATTTTTCGCAAACTATAATGTTTGGGAAAATTGAGAAGTTAAAAAAAACTAACAATTAGAAATAACACCCATCACCATCATTAAAAACAAAAAAGCCATACGTGCAGAACCCACAATAACTCACCTCCCCACATTCCTCCTCCACTGTTTCCTGTATTTCCCCATTGCTGTTGTCCTGATGGAACACCCGTCCACACATTAGAGGTATCCGCGACATCATCATCTTCGCCCCATGTGCCGCCAATATTGGTTAATGGTGTGTGGCCCCAAGGCGTTTTTTGCTGGGGTTGAGGAGGTGGTTGACCACCATTACGCAAATTTGCTTCCCATAATTCTGTCCCATTGTTGACTGTTGGTTTCCAAGGAGGCGCGTTCGTACCATCCAATTTTATGGGAGGCTCCGGACTTCCCGGAATTTCCCACGTCGTATCTTGATTAATATGCTGTTGATTTTTAAACCAGTGTTAGCGATTATTATTTTTTAACAGACTAAATTAGAGAATCGAAAGGCAACTTACGCCTCCCCATCCATCGTGGCTAAAGATAGCTTCTCGCATATTATTCAGCTGCTCTAATTGCTGCTTGGTCGTATTCGTTGAAGTCGTATTGTTAACATTATTATTCGTAGTAGTCGGCGCAATGTTGGCGGTCGTCGAAACTGGGGGGCCGTTAGGAGGCTTATTTCCTCCAGGTTGTCCCCATGCCGACTGGTTGGGCTGAGAAGACGGTGGAGGCTGCTGTCCATTTTGTTGCATATTCGAATTCGACTTGTTGGCTAAAACGAAAGGGAAAAATCACAATTAATAAACTTAAAAATCAGCATTTTTATTAGAAATACGATGTTTAGCCAAACATTTTATCGAAAAAATAATGAGAAAATTAAAACAGGAAAACAGCATATGTACGTGTATATCTACTGGATGGCTTAATAGACACAAAGAGAATTTTTCCCGTTTTCGACTTACTGTCGGTATTTGGGGGACCTTGTCCATTAGGTGGACGATTATTGGCATTTGCCCATTGCTGTGTACCTGTTTGATTCGGATTGGCAGCATTAGCTGTACCCCAGCCGCTTGAATTGTTTGCTGCAACAAAGTTACCTTACTAACTTCAGTTGATTTTTGAAATTTTACTTGTAATTAATTTAATTTAATCCGTCTTATTGGGATTTATTATGAAAATTAAAATAAATAAAATGATACTCACAGTAAACAAAACAAGAACATCGTTTGTACATCGATAATTGATGTACAAAGTAAAATTAATTAAACCTAAAATTGATACTTACAATTGTTGCTGCTGGCCTGTTGTGGTGGAGTTCCCCATCCGGAAGTTCCAGCACTAAGAGAACTCTCACCCCCTCCGTAAAGTCCAAGGGCCAATTTGAAGCCCTGACGTTCCAGAATACGTGTGCGTTTACTTAGCTGTATGAGCCTATCGAGATTATAATAATTATCGCAGTTGTCGTTGTCGCGGCTATGAACGCTTGCAGTTTCAATAGCAGTCAAAGAGCTATGAGGTTCTTCACTAGGAGGACTATCTTTAGTAATAGTATTAGCATTATCATTTATAGTAGTATTATCTTGAGTGAGGTTCAGTTCAACGGTGAGGTCGTTTTCGAGGTCATCAGACTTTTGGTTGGGAATGTCTTGTCCAAGGAGTTCTAGAGCACCAAACTTACATCCTAGCTTATCCCTATCGCCTACATTATCGTTATTATTAACATTATAATTATTATTGTTGTGTGTGACCGACGAACGGTCGTTACGTTGTATTTTTGGTACGGTAACAGAATTATTAATCAGAAGACAATTTTCGGTCACAGATTGCATCCTAAAATTAGAATAATAATAGGAGTTGCCGATTTTTACGTGCGGGCAACCGCTTGAGCCGGATATCACAGAAGAAGGCGCGCCCGGCTGTGGGACGCGAGGGGCTGCACTTGGGAGGTCGGCTCGACCCCCCCAAGAGACCCGAGCGACTTGTACTGGGGATGCGCGGCCCCTCATGGCTGACGCTTCTTGAGGCACTTGGTAGGTAGGAAATGTAGAGTTCGGCTCGGAGGGGGCGGGGTCGCGCATTTTCAACAGTGCTCCATTTCAGTCTGGCCAGCCAGAGATCTGCAGACAATTTTTTTGTTATTATTATTATTATTATCTGTTATTAATTTACATTAAAATCTACCGATAAATCGATACAATACACAACCTATGCACAGTGCATGCAGGGTTGTATGACCGGTTGTCTAAGCTGCATACTTTCTTCAACCGTACTACCGTATGAGCGTTAAATCATTTTGTGATTTCAAAGTATCGGTGAATGCTTGTTTTTTTTTTTAATATTTTAGAATGAAACATAGCAAATAAGTAAATTTCTCCATCTGAAAAAAAGAAAATGAATCATAAATTCTCTCATATATATAT